TTCAGTTCACTCTGGTGAGACCTGATGACTTCCTACCAAGCTCCCCGCCCGTCTCTTTGGAACCTTTGCTCATGACAATTCGGGATGAATGTTACCTGCTGGGGACAGAGCTGTGCATCTGGGGCCTTCAGCTGAGCAACCCAGAAGTCGGCAGGCTTGTGAGTCACAGATTTAAGAATTGCTCTTTCAGGCCTTACAATTATTATAAGCACATTGCAACATGTATTCAAACTGTAATTCATTTGGTTCCTGATTGCTAAGTTACAAGGCTTTCCTTTTAAAAACTTTTTCCATGAAATATTTTAAAATTAACTTGAAAATGATTAACCGTGGCATTTGTGTACTCATCACTCAGATATAACATACTTGTTGTCTCAAGGAATAACAATTGCAGCTACTTATAAATACAATAGTTAAAGCCTCATTTATTTCCCTTTCTCTTTATCTACTTCTAAGAAGTACCACTAGCCTAAAATTGATGTGTCACATGCATGGTTTTATACTCTAATCTCATATGCATATGTTTTTATGTATACAAATGAAATACTGTTATATCCTTTTGTGACATACTTTTTTTACTCATATGCTGTCAAGAATTTTCCATGTCTGAGCTCGCTTCAGCAGCACATATACTAAAACTGGAACTATACAGAGTAGATTAGCATGGCCCCTGTGCAAGGATGACCTGCAAATTCATGAAGCATTCCGTATTTTTAAATGTCATCAGTCAAAAGAAGAATTTTCCACGTTCAATTCATTTAAACTGCTAACATACTGTATAGAACCTTCATTCTTAAAAGATAATTTTGCTAGACATAGTTATAAATTAACTGTTGTTGGGTTTTGTGGGCTTTATTTATTTGTTTGCTGATTGAGTTTTTGTTCTTGCTAGTGAGAAGTTTCATGTAGACCTTGCTTTCTGAGAAAAGCAGATAATTTAGACTAACAAAATAAGCTAAAAGACAGCCATAGGTCAGACAGAGGATGCAAGGGAGGATGGGGGCCTAGAAAAGACATCACCAGGGACAATTTTCCCTTGAGGGTATCTGATACAAAGAGAAGTTCAGAAATGGAGCAGTTTGGTAGCCTTACAATGCTAGGAGACATTTCTTGTGGTGGTGGTGGTGGTGGTGGCGGCGGTGGTAGTGGTGGTGGTGATGGTTGTGGTGTACCATCAAGTTGGAACCAACCTATAGCTGAGCCACCCCCCCACCCCACCCCCCGCCCAGTAGGTTTTCAGAGGCTTTTAATTGCAAGGGAAGAGATTGCCCATCCTTTCCCCATGGAGCAGCTGGTGCCTTTGGGATTGCAGCACAGCTTCTTGCCACTAAGCCACCAGTGCGTTAAGAGTCCTAATTAACTCCCTTTGTTAAGGATTAGAATCTCAAACTTCTATTCCATGGGACTAAAGCTGAACCAGAAGACACTTTTGTTCTGATTAGTTCAAGTGCTGAAATTGGATTAATTGTTGGTATCCCCAGAGTTTGCTGGAAGACAGATTATTTTAATCAGATTCTCAAATTATGACTATAAGCAATTCTGTAAAGAAAATGTCCAGCATAATACATTTTATTCATATAGTGGGTACAAGACAATGAAAGGAAATACAATGACAAAAATCAAGATTTTGGTAAAGACCTAAACTGACATTCTAGAACTGAAAAAAACAAAGTTATTTGTTGTCGTGTACTGTGGAGTTGGAACGGACTCGTAGCTGACCCTCCAGCGGGTTTTGAGAGGTAAATAATCTCACAGGAGGAGATTGCCCATCCTTCTCCCCCAGAGCAGCTGGTGGCCTCAAACCACATGCCTCAGCGATTGCAGCCCAGCTTCTTGCCACTAGTTTAAAATCTCAACAGATGGATATAGCACACCTTAGGCAGAAGTAAGCACTGATCTTCTCTGGGGAATATTCTCTGGTCTTCACCAGAGCTGAAAGAGTTTCCACGGCTATTTTTTTCATGAAATATCTGGGGGGTTTTTTGCCATCCACCCGATGTTCAATGCTCTTCTCCAACATCACAGCTCAAAGGCATAAATTTTTCTATCATTCCTGTTCAATGTAATAGACCTTTATTACACTGGCCAATTTTGATCCACAGGGTTTCTGTATCCTGATTCTCAGAAGTAGATTACCAAATAAGCCAGTATAAAATTTAGAAAAGAAAAGGGGGGGGAGGAAGAGTGCAGACCAGATCTACAGTGATGTCTCTCTTAACTATCATTAATTCTGACATATAGTGTGACTAGAAAAGAAACAGATCACCAAGCTTCGCTTCCTAGCTTGTTTTAGTCTCGAAGCTCTGCTGAGCGCACTTCTTCATTTTAATAGCACATGAGCCTCCACTGACAGAGGGGTGGTGACCACACACAGACAAGGTCAGTTCCTGGGATTGAAATCTGAATCCCCCTCATGGAAGGTAGAATTCTTTTGCTGAACAGGCTCAGCCTTCTCATTGTATGTTGTTGTTGTTGTTAAGTGCTGACAAGTGAGCTCCAGCTCCTCGTGTCCTCATGCGGAGCACCTTCCTCAGCGGCCCATTGTTGAGCAGTCACTGTGTCAGTCCACCTTGCTGAGGACCTTCCTCTCTGTGATGACCCTCAGCTTTTTCAGGCGTGATGTCTTTTTCCAAGGATTGCAGTCTCCTGACCGCACACTGAAAATATGTGAGACAAAGTTTCACCATCACTAAAGAACAGCAAATCAGAACCACAGTGAAATACTAACTCACGTCCGCTATGATGACATGTTAAAAAGAACAAAACCCAGAAAAATCTCCAAAGTTAGTTAGAACTCTCCTATGTTGCTGGAGAGATTATAAGTAGTACAGTCATTGGAAAAAATAGTTTGGCAGTTTCTAAAAAAAAAATAGGAGCTCTGGTAGACTAGTGGGTAAGGCGTTCACTTTCTCTGGGAGAAAGATGGGCATTCTCCTCCCATGCAATTTTCAGCTTCTGAAAGTTCACTGGAAGATTAGCGGTAAATTAGTTCTGACTCCATGACACCTAACAACAATAAAATACATAGTATAATACTGTATAATCTTTAACTCCACTTCTATGTATACATCTAGTGCATTTAAAAAAATATGTAACCAAGGGAGGCTGGTGGCCTAGTGGCAAGCAGCTGTATTTTAATCACAAAGGTGCAATTTGAATCCACCAGATGGCTGGAGAAGGAAGGGCAATCTCCTCCTGGGCCAGTCAGATTTGATTCAATGATACACAACAAGGGCAAAAATTTTTACAAAGTAACCAGCAATTTCAGTTTATTTTATTCAAAAGGTCCATCAGGGTACCCAGTCAATTCAATTGCCAGAGTAAGAATGTGGTATTTTTGTTTAAAATCCGTTAACACTGCTATGTATATGCTTAAAAACAATAAAAATAAAATCAGTGATAACAAAGAACTAATATGAAAGTTTATACTTGATCTTAGCCAAAAGGCTGAGAAGCGATAAGCAGTAATATAAAGATTTCGCAGTTGGTTAATAAAGTAATGCTTCATGTTGTTGTTGTGTACTGTTGAGTCAGAACGAACCCACAGCTGACCCTCCAGCAAGTTTTTGGCCATGAATTTTGCACAAGAGAGACTGTCCATTGCTGATGGATTTGATTCACGTGCCTTCAGGTTTGCAGCATAGCTTCTTGCCACTAGGCCACCAGAGCTCATAGTCTTAAAAAAAATTCCTTAACAGTTCCCTAACCTTAAGCCTTGTTGATTACTCTTGAGGCTGCTGAGGTATTTTGTGACCTCACAATAGTGACTAACATCCCTGCCCAGCACAGTGCTGGTGCCCTGGGAGGGATCTCTACATGACTGTTCGCACAGATTGAGAAATCCAACCCAGCATGCAAACAAAGTGTTCCCTAATTAAAGAGATCACAGACTCTGAAGTTAAGTTTACACAGATCCTTTTATTCTCAACCAAGGTACAATTTGGAACCCTATAGCTAACCAACTTGCAAAACCCTAAATTCTCCAAACCTCACCAACATCTCCATCTGCTCTAAATTCTGAAATGAAGAATACGTTAGCTTGTGGTTATCCTAACTGCTAAAAGGTGGCCTTCAGGACACGCTCATGATGTGTCCTTTGAAATAGCTCCCCTTATCTGCTAGGTGGTCATTTCATTCTCATTGCTGTCCAACAAGAGCCTTCCCAGTTATTCCACTCCTAAGTATATATTCCAGAGACTTGAAACAATAACACAAACAGACACTTGTTCTCTAATGAATTAAATAAGTCAATCACAAAGGATAAATGCTGTAATATCTCATATCAAATAATAAAATATTTGGAAATGAAAGCTTTTGTTGTATGGGAGGGGAGGGGAAAGGGGAGTTTGCCTGGGGAGAAGCAAGTTTATGTTTATGGTAGTGGGTTAATTTGGAATAGTGTTAACTAAAGCAGTTGTAAGGTTAGAAAGATGTAATCAACAATATTGAACAATACATGTAGAAAATATTTAATTGCTGTATTTATTTTTTAGTATAATTTCACCACAGTCACAATTTTTAAAAAGAAAGCACCTTACCACCTTCAGGGACCCAAGAGAACCTGAGATGGCTCATGTATTGTTACTCATCCAGAGAGACATCATATTGCTGAATTTACATGGCCCAGTCACATCTTAACATCAAGAAAGCTAATATCCTCACCACTGGGCCATTAAGGAAACATTGTGATGGAGTGAGAAAAGGTTGAAGTTGTCAAAAAATTCATCATCCTTGGATCCACAATCAACTCCCAGGGTCAAGAACTCCCAGCAGTAAAGAAATCAAAAGATGTCTTATTAGAAAATCTGTGTGCATTAGGAAAATCTGCTGTCAAGGACTTCTCCAAAATGCTAAAGAGTGCCTTTTCTACGAAGATGGTGCCGAAAGCAAAGAAGGAAGCCCCTGCCCCTCCCAAAACTGAAGCCAGGGGGCGGGCCCGTGCGCTCAGTCCATGCGGGGCGTCGGTGCGGTGGGACGGTGGGACGCGATGAGGGCTCGTCATGGCAGAGCAGCAGCAGCTCCGCGTGCAGGAAGCAATCGACTGCGTGGTGAAAAGTCTGGAGAGAGAGAACATCCGGAAGATGCAGGGCATCATGTTCCGGTGCAGCGCCGGCTGCTGTGAGGACAACCAGGCGTCCACGCAGCAGGTGCACCAGTGCATAGAGCGCTGCCATGCCCCCCTCGCGCAAGCCCAGGCCCTGGTGACCAGCGAGTTGGAGAAATTCCAGGACCATCTGGCCCGGTGTACCATGCACTGCAATGACAAAGCCAGAGACTCGATAGATGCAGGAAATAAGGAGCTTCAGGTGAAACGGCAGCTAGAGAGCTGTGTGACCAAGTGTGTGGATGACCAAGAAGATGGAGTCTCTCTCAGCCATTACAAAATAAAAGCCTTTGCCAGTAGCCATTGGGGATAAGAGGAAGAATCTATATTTTTTTTAAAAAAATAGGAATTTAGGTCTTTTTAGTAAAGTTTATAATTGAAGAAATTAAGGTTGGCAGCAAATTTAAGGAATATCTCACCTGGCTATGAATACAGTTTCTAAGTTTTAACCTGTGCTAAGTTGTGAAACAAGTGCTAAAATATTGGAGCACAAGAGTTCTTCAGATCCTAAATTGTATGTGGCCAGAGCTCACCCT